ACATTTTTTTCTCTTAAATATTTTACAGGCATTTTTTTACTCCATGTGTTTACAACAGTAACAATAGCAAAAGTAAGCTCCTACAAATTCTGTTTTTCATTCTCTATTATCTCTGTGGCAGTCAGGATAGGCTGTGCTATACTGTTTAACAAAAATAATCTCCAAATACTTGTGGTTAAAACAACAGAGGTCAATTTCTCACTCACGTTACATGTCCTTTGCAAGATGGCAGGGGATTATGTTTATTGAGGTTATTCAGGGACTAAACTGATGAACCAGCCCATCATCTCGAACCTTTGTGGTTATTGTGCCAGAGAGAAAGAAAAAGAGCATTGTAGGATGTATTTTTTAAAAAATGTATAATATAGTATTATTAACTATAATCACCATGTTGTAATTAGATCCCCAGAACTTACTCATCGTATTACTGGAAGTTTGTACCCTTTGCCCAACATCAAAGATGTCAAGAGACAGAGAATGAGGCCCGAGAATGTAATGTAAGCATGAGTCCTAGTAGAATGGGGGAGAATTGAAAATATTTGATGAGTGGATTAATGACTACCAAGCCTATTTCAGGTGGAAATATGTTCTTTATACAGTAATTTTAAATGGAAACCTTGAAGGACCTCTGACTCTTTCTCTTATGTTGATACAGTTTTGCCTCTGAAAACTCCCCCAAATGTTATCTTTTTCCTCACTGCTTTTGCCTTGGGTCAGGCCTTACTCTTTTCTCACTTGGTCTATTGCAGTAACCTTTTAACTATGTTCTGGATTTGACCCCTTTCAAGCATCATCCTGCTGCCAGAGTGATCATTTTAACATTCCAACCTAATTAAGATCCTTCAAAAGTTCTCCATCACAACAAGATCAATTCCACACCTATAAGAGGAACTACCCTTCACAGTCTGACTTGTACTCCCTCTCTAGCCTTTTCTCTTGCCAGTCCCTTGTATGCTAAACATGTTCAATGACTTGATGCTAGGCTTTTACATCTCTTTCCCCCATTGCTCTGTCTAGAGTGTTCTCCATTCCTTCTTTCCCACAGATGTTTTGCTCAAGCCTAGAAAATCCCTAATCATCTTCTAAGTTTCACATTGAGGATTTTTATCTCCTAAGAAACTTTCCCAGACTTTCTTAAATGGAATGACAGCTACTTCTCTACTTTCTGTCACTAGATTGTACTCTGTATATTATTCTCCAAGCACTAATAGCATGCATTGTTTGTATGTTTAGATTACATGCCCATTTCCCTCAACTAATCTATAAACATTTTGATGATAAGAAACTCTTACTAAATTTTGTGTTGTCAGCAGAGAGTAAATACAACGTTTCTGGCACATTGTGCTACCACATGGCTAGAGATATAAAGATAAGGAATTAATTTTGTATTACATTGTAGGAAGATAAATTTTTTTACATGAACATGATGGTTGGTATATTTTTTACTTGTGTATCTTGTCCAAAGTGAGGAGCGTGTGTGGGTATATATGTATGTGTGTATGTGTATGTGTTTCTGTCGGGTCCCAGCTCGATCCTTGGGTAAGTTAAATACCTCTTATAAGCTCCAGTTTCTTCCTCTCTGAAACTCCACAAAGAAGAGTTAATTATAGCATCTGTTTCATAGGATCGTTGGAAGGCTAACTCAGTAAATGCCTGTAGAGAGGATACTTAGCAAGATGCCTATATATCAGTCTCCTCTTGCTGCTGTAACAAATTATAATGAACTTGGCAACTTCAAACAATACAAATATATTACCTTACAGTATTAGGGGTCAAAAGTCCAAAATAGGTCTTAGTGGGCTAAAATTAAGGTGTTAGCAAAACTGTTCCTTCTGGAAGCTCTGGGGGACAATCTGATTTCTGTCTTTTCCAGCTTCCAGAGGCTTTCTGCATTCCTTGGCTTGTGGCCCCTTTCCATCTTCAAAATGAGCAATGGACCACTGAGTCTTTCTCATACTGCATGGTTGTAACTAACACACTTTCTCACCTCCCTCTTCTGCATACAAGGACCCTGTGACTATCCTGAGCTCACCTAAATAATCCAGGATAATTTCTCCATCTCAGATTCTTTAATGTACTCATATCTGCAACATTCTTTTTGCCATATAGAGTATATAGGGTATCATATCCACTGGTTCTGGGACTTAGGATGTGGACATCCCTAGGGGAGCATTACTTTGCCTACCACAGTGCTCAATCTACTCATTGTAAGTGATGAGTAAAGCTTGGCTATTATTATTGGAATTATAGACTATTAAACACCATTACATAGAGCTATGTTAAAGAGCTGAAATATTTTTGAGCCATACAATCTGGATACAGTGTGGCCTTCTAGTAATAACTTAGCACTAAAGAGTCACAGTTCTTTCACTCCAAAAATGAGTTAAGTGATTCACTTTTGAAAATTTCCTTAGCCATTTTGTTATGCTGGGATGCACTTACAGTAAAAGGAAATTAGTATTTATTTTAAAGTACCTTTGCAGCTCTAAGGAAGATAATTTTACCATCATTACTATCATCATGCAGAATGACTAACAGTTATTGAGAATATACTATGTGCCAGGAACTGTTCCAAGTGTTTATATATGTATTGACTAATTTGATCTTAACTGCCAGCCCCATGAGGGAAGGTACTTTTATTTTTCTTATTTTATGGCAGTTGAGAGTTTGCCCAAAGTTTTAGGGCTAATAAGTGCCAGACATGGGATTTAAACCCAAGTGGCTAGTCTGTAGAACCTGTACTTTTAACCACAGCAGTATAAAAATAAGAATGTGGAAGTAGATGAGGCAACTCTTGAAGAATGAATACTCTACTTTGGGCTAATAACTCAGCATTTTTATAGCTCATCATGGTGTACTCTGAGAGTAGTTAGTCTTACTGAGATCTAATTTTTGTGCTTTTTGAAAAATGCGTAATAGATGACTAACTGTGAGTTGAGGGTTGGTCAGTATCCAAACATACTTGAAAACAAATTGGCTAGTCAGTTCAGGCTTTTAAAGACAGGTCCCTTAGGCTTGTTGTCCTTCTCTCTTAAAAATATACTTAGGCACCTTCACATCAGAAATTATTACATGCCATGTATTACCTTTCTCTCTATTCTGCCAACTTATTTTGATATGTAGAGTTTGAGCAAGGAACCTGCCTTTTTTTTTTAAGAAGTTGTTATCCATGTCAGTGTTTCCAAGAAAGTCAGTGTTTCAAAAGACTTAAACAGATGTTGTTAACACTTTTGCTACTGTGGTTAGGTGAAAAAGATAAAGGAAAGATTATTAATAGGGCTAATCATTACAAACAAAATGTTAAGAACAACTGTCAAAATATTTTATACTGTAAGGAACTACTCTTAAATGAAATACTCAGGGATGTAATGGAGGAACAGGCATTTGCTTAAATGTTGACAGAGCTGGATGTTGACTCATTGGGTTATCATGATAAGTACATCAACTTTATGGGCCTTGAATGAAATACATTTGTTACAGCCACATTCATGAAATACCATGTTATGTGAAAAATCTCTTTATGCCAAAAGAAGTAGAGAGCAACTAACTAATGGGTGAAAATAAAATTTTATCTAGTTGATTAGTAAATTTTTCTGTATGAATGCATTTTATATAGGCTTACATACTATATATGGAATACATATATGTATAATAATATGTAGCAACACATATAGTAATCAAGCCCATCACATTTATTTGGCTTTCAAAATTCTAAATTATTTTGAAAATCAAAAACAGTTAAATGAAAGCTTTCATCTCACCTACTGCATAGATGTTTACTCATAATCACACAGTTTCAAGAGGGTGTTACCTGCTTCACATGGTCTTGATTCAGCTTTTATACTCCAGTGTTTTATTTAGAATCCTTTGACAGATGAAACTGTTGACCTTAGTTAGCCAGAAAACAGCTGCTTTTCTATTTTGATATGTAGTTAATGTTTTCCAAGTGTCAAGCACATGTAGAGAAATTTTTTCCATAGACTGATAGTAAACATTTTATTTATATTTCTGTTATTTTTAATGGTCCATGGATGGTTTGGAAAAGTGAGAGCCAATTAGAGCATTCACTGAAGTGTTTTTAGAAAAAAAATCTCCCTTGGGTATTTCTATAATGGATCAATATCACATTCATTTATTTTAGTGACATATTCAACCAGAGTGCTATATTCTGGAAACAGTCTGTTGCCTGTTTTGATTAAGTTAAAAATACATGACTCTTGCAAAGTTTTCAAGTTTCTGCCTAAAGTCCAAGCTAGGTGATTCCTAATAATCTAGGTTTGACTCTGTTTTGCCAGGGAATGAATACCTTGAGAGAGTGAGCAGTTGATTATCTTAGTTTAATGACCTATTTCTTATAATTATTTTTAATAGCTTCTGGTTAAAGATAATATTTTATCTTAGTCTTGCTGTGGTTAGTTTTACCGTTTTTTTGAGTTTCTGTGATAAAAGTCTTTGTAAATATATGATCCCTATTATTTTTATTTATCTCTCATGAGCAGTTCACTAAAATTTTAGTGGAAGACTTGGAGGAATGTGAGGCTGCAGCTAGGCAGGCATCACTGTCCTTTGGTGGCAGGTGTAGTGACTGGCGAGCATGTGTCCTGAGTACTGAGTAGCATGAAATGACGGGGGAAATCAAGAAACGGAGAAAGCAGCAAGGGCATACTGAAAGATTCACCACATTTTGTTTATAGTTTAGTCCCAGGTGAGGTGGAGTTGCTTTAAACTCTTTGGGTGCTGGGAAACCTAGATGGGAGATTCAGTTTCTCACTCAACCTTAAGTCTTGAGAGAGCAACAGTTTCTTCACGGAGGTGTGTCATTTGTGGCAGAAGAGAAACTCTGGCTGTCCTCTTGAGGTGGGTGGGGTTGCCAGCCGTCATCTCTCTCTGACTTGGCTTGGACAGACTGAGACTTGAGAAAGCAACTCTAGAGTTTTAATAATATTTTCAAGAGAATACCTCTGGTAATGTTTTAAAATATCTATTTCTTGGTCTTTCAGGAACATTAAAGAAAGCCTATTTTAAATCAAATGGGAGTGAACCTTTGGTCACTGATGGTGAAGTCCAAGTGCCTGATGTTAATCTTACAAGTGCAGTTTATCATGAGAGCGCTGTGGCCTCTGCTGTACCTCCCAACCAACACATTCCAGCCTGGACCATGGATACTTCTCTTCCAGGGGACCAAAATCACAGGGATGCAGGTAAGTCTGAAGTTTCTGAAAGTGTGTGACTCAAATGTCTGTGGAACCCACAGGTAGATTTTTAAGTGTAGCAAGTGCTGCTTTTAATTCACAGACACTTACTGGTCACTCAGGCAAAGCTCCACTCTCTCATCCAGCAAGCCTCGCTTAGTGCCCTGTTCCTAAACATGAAATGCCATCAGCTCACCCACCCAGATAAGGACATGAGTGAGAAATGTATCAATGTCATTCAACATTTCTGAGGCATAAAAATGTATGCCTCTTGCATATAATAAATGGTATTGATTTTGTGGTTGTTCACCTCTGGAAGTTTGTGCTTCTTTTTTGAAGTTTTGTAACCTATTTAAGATGGTTAACTAAGTAGGCTAAATTATGTATTTCGTTACTGGGGTCTCATGGGAAGGATCCTAATTCTGTAACAGAGTGCCAAATGACTTAATGGAAGCTATCCCCTCGACTTGCTTTTGAGGTGTCTGTATGTTCTTTTTTCCTTTCTTACCTCATTTCCTTCTTTTATGGGATGAGCAATTTATCTTACATATTGGGAACTGACAAATAATCATGCCTGGAGAATAATGGCATGTGTGCTTGAGGACAAACGGAGGGATTTGTCAGTTACTCCAGAAAAAGAGCTGGGAGAGAGAGAGAGAAGGAAGAGTGTGGAGATGGGGGCCAGTTAACTGGTGGCAGATGATATGCTTTGTAATGTGACTCTACTCCTCAACACCCTTCAGATTTTTTACTCAAGTTCCTAAGCTTCTAGAATGCTGGTGGGAGTGGATTTGCGTGGAAAATGCTGAAGAGCTTTGGCACTGATCCCATCAGCACTGATAAAATGTCAGGTCGCGGTCACTCTAAGAAAACTTCCTCTACAGTTTTCTTGTTTATTTTGTATTTCCTAAAACAAGATTATATGATTGAAAATTATCTGAAGCCCATCTACCCATGATCATTTTTGTGTTTGTTCCTCCTCCTTTCATAAAAAACTCACCAAAGAAAATCACCTCTCAGGTCTTGGATGGAGTGTTTATTTTCATGCTGAGCCAGAAGAGAAGGAAGGATCACGTGGACTCTCGGCTGTCACAGGATATGCCTGCCAGGATCTAGAAAGCAGGGCTGAGGCACTGGATTCCATTGTTTCACCAGCATCTACAGCACCAACTGTTTTTTATGCTTGGTGTTCACCAGAGACTCATGCAGATTCACATTCATTACCCAACAGTAGTAAAACTTGAATTATGCTAATGAAAATTAATTTTTCTCATGAGTTTAGTTTTGAGGTTTTAATATTTTGGTCATGTCTTAGGCACATCATTATTTAAGGACATTGTTTTCCATCAGAAGTGCAGAAGTAATTTAAGCAAAAACTCAGTCCAGTTAATGTGCTTGTAATTACAGCAATTATTAATTTCTTTTACTAAGTGGATTTATCTCTATTTTGAAAGTTCTGTCATTTGTTAAGTAGAGATGGCAAACACATACCCTGAAGAGTAAAGAAACATATGGTGCTTCTTGCTTAGTCTGGAAGTTTGATGGAAGTCTGTTTGGCTCATTTTTTTCTTCCTGGGGCTGGAATATTGCTTGAGAATATGTGCATGATATGACATGTAAAGGAAATCCAGGTGAAATTAGAGTGATTAAATGGAGAAAGGTCAAAACCTTTGAATGTGTCATTCTGTGTTCATGTATTTGACAGTTAGGACTGAGCTTTATTGTCTTAACTACAGGAAACCTCAATAGGCTGTCTATATTAATTAAAATTATTTATTGCAAAGGATTGCTAGCTTGTGATTTTAGAGCTGTTGGTAGTTTTCAGGGCATGTTTGAATACTTTCTCTGTAGTCCTTTTATTAACTGATGAGGTATGCAGGACAGGACCATTTTTCAAGGTCTGAAATTGAGGATTAGAGGAATTAAGTTGGCATATTTAGTACCGCTTGTTTAGTAATTGGTAGACATGAATTGGGATTCAGCTCTTGGGACTCTTGGACTCTTTCCCATATTTCATGTGTTCTCGTCTAATTTTATTGTTTTCTTTGCAGTAGCCAGGGTAGCATTACCAAGCAAATTTAAATTCCAGGATAATAGAGAGAGTAGTCTGTTTTGCTTACTGCTGTGTAACCAGTGCTTAATAAAATATTTGTTGAATTAATAAACAAATGAGAGTCATTTCAAAATTTTAATATCTGATTTATCTTTTTGTTAGTGATGCTTAATCACATTTAACCAATTTTACTTAAAGCATCACTTAATGCCTTATATTTGTACTAATACCTAGCAGAAAATTTGCATTTGTCCCTCTTTTTTATTATTCTCGAATTAAAATGTCATTTAAAATTCCTAGCATATGTAAAAGCTATATAAGTGTACTTCAGTCCAAAAATACAGTGGCCAGACATTCCGTCCTACCCCAAATATCCTGGGTAGGAAACCAAGGGGAGACCTCTTGGCAAAAGGTAGTAGGCAATAGCCTTTCCTTAAGACATTTCCCCCTGGCGGGTCCTTAATATCATGCCAAAGCATAGAATACTGCAGTTTGTAAAGTTTTAACCAGAATAACCCCCACATTATACTATGTGGCAGAGCTGGGCTTTGCAAATGTGAAATAGGCTTTATGTTGTATCTGTTACTTTTAGAATTTCATTAGTTTCATTTTGAAAACCAGTTGTAATATGGAAAGGTAAAAGCTAACTCCATAGTTAGCCTTCATGCTGTATTTCCACAGGGGATTTTCCTAGGTTGTATCCTGTGTTTGGGTTTATATTTTCACCTTGTCTCCTTATATATTTTATAAATATTTGAACATAAATTAAATTTTAAAGGAAAGGGAGAAACTCTTTGACCAACCAAAAACTTTTGGTTTAAAAATAATATGGCACACAATAAAATAACCTGGGAACACCAATCAGGAATTAAAGTGACAAGAAAACAGATTAATGTGCTGAAGGCTTGAAGGTCTGTTCTCTCATCATGCTCTTTGATAACAAGTTCCTAAATCCTCCATATTAGATGAAAATGCATCATACCTCTCATTCACTTTAAAAAAACCACTTTTTGAAATATAATTCACATACTATAAAATTCACTAAGATGTATGGTTCAATATTTAAAAAATACATTCACTGAGTTGAACAACTATCACCAGTATATAGTTTAGAACATTTGCCTCCCTGAAAAAAAGAAATGCTGTATCCATTATTCTTCATTTCCCCTTTCCCCCAGCCTGTATTCAAAAAACTAATCTACTTTTTGCCTCTATGGATTTTCTAATTTTGAACATTTCATGTAAAGGGCATCATATAAATATGTGGCTTTTATGACTAGCTTTTCAAATCGTTTTTGGATATGGGCACATCTCTGACCTAGATCCCAGGGAATAAGTCAGAGCTTTCAGAGGCCCCTTTGGCCCTCTCATTCCCTAGTTTCTCCTTATAAGTGTTTTGTTTAGCCTCCCATTGCCAACAGGTGTCCCTGCCTCAGGTACCTTTGATGTTAAACAGTTGCCACACATTGTGGTTTATATTTTCACCTTGTCTCCTTATATATTTTATAAATATTTGAACATAAATTAAATTTTAAAGGAAAGGGAGAAACTCTTTGACCAACCAAAAACTTTTGGTTTAAAAATAATATGGCACACAATAAAATAACCTGGGAACACCAATCAGGAATTAAAGTGACAAGAAAACAGATTAATGTGCTGAAGGCTTGAAGGTCTGTTCTCTCATCATGCTCTTTGATAACAAGTTCCTAAATCCTCCATATTAGATGAAAATGCATCATACCTCTCATTCACTTTAAAAAAACCACTTTTTGAAATATAATTCACATACTATAAAATTCACTAAGATGTATGGTTCAATATTTAAAAAATACATTCACTGAGTTGAACAACTATCACCAGTATATAGTTTAGAACATTTGCCTCCCTGAAAAAAAGAAATGCTGTATCCATTATTCTTCATTTCCCCTTTCCCCCAGCCTGTATTCAAAAAACTAATCTACTTTTTGCCTCTATGGATTTTCTAATTTTGAACATTTCATGTAAAGGGCATCATATAAATATGTGGCTTTTATGACTAGCTTTTCAAATCGTTTTTGGATATGGGCACATCTCTGACCTAGATCCCAGGGAATAAGTCAGAGCTTTCAGAGGCCCCTTTGGCCCTCTCATTCCCTAGTTTCTCCTTATAAGTGTTTTGTTTAGCCTCCCATTGCCAACAGGTGTCCCTGCCTCAGGTACCTTTGATGTTAAACAGTTGCCACACATTGTTTTTGACAAGTGCCCTGGAGATAGAGTTGTTTTGCATAGAGAAAACTCTGAATCAGGTCAAGTGGGACAAGCCCTACAATGGATCTTTCCAGGGAGCTTCCAGAAAGATTGCGTGGTGGCAATTCTCTGGGAATGTCTTTTTGGGGAGCATCATACCTTCTCTTCCCCTCCACTGCCTCCTGGATTGCTGGTTTTCACAGTTACCATGGTTGTCATGCTATTAGTTTTCAAGGTTACCACAGAACTAGGGAGAGTGATAGGAATAGAACAAATTAAAATGCTCCAGTCAATTTTCTTGAAGAACTGATCTTCTAATTGATGTAAGCCTTTGGTTAAATTCCAGAAATCTGAAAAATTTGATTTCTAACATTTTTTTTTGCCAGTGTTTTCACTGTTTTTACAAAGGAGCAGCTTTTTGGAAGGCCTTACTGTGCCATTCAGGAAGAATTCAATCACTCTTACCTTCCTTATTTACTCCATTGCTTCTTTTTCATTTCCTCCAGTATTGGGAGTTGACTTTTCTTCTTTTTATAATTCATAATATGATCATACATATTATTTTTAAATGAAGTCTTTTTTTATTTTTTATTTTTGCATAAATAACTTCATTCTTTCCTCTTTCTTTTGCATTATATTACCCTAACCCTGCTCACAGTTAACCGATGTTAACAACCTAGTTGAGCATGACTTATAGCTTTCTCCATGCTCATGTAATCATGTATAAACA